CTAAGAGAGTTGTGCAACGAGCTTGCAGAGCCCCTGAAGCTCCTGTTTTGTAAATGCCTGGATGAACAAATGGTCCCCAGTGAATGGTAAGTGGCTTATGCGAGTCCTATCTTCAAGAAGGGCGATCGTCACTTCACGAACAACTATAGACCGGTGAGACTGACCAGCATAATATGTAAAGTACTTGAGGGTATTATCAGAGATGACGCAATGGAACATCTAATACGAAACAACCTTGTAAAAGATTGCCATCACGGTTTTATGCCGGGGCGCTCCTGCTTAACACAATTGCTCAAGGTATTGGATATTTGGACCCATATTCTGGAACGGGGTGGTAATATCGACAATATTTACCTAGATTTTGCCAAGGCTTTCGACAGTGTACCCCACGAAAGGCTGAAAATCAAACTGGAAGGGTACGGAATTCGGGGAAATGTCCTAGCGTGGATAGAAGACTTTCTACATGACCGCAAGCAGTGTGTGGTGATTAATGGCACGAAATCGTCATCTGCACCTGTCACAAGTGGGGTACCACAGGGCAGTGTAGTGGGCCCGCTGTTGTTTGTTTGTTTCATAAATGACATGCCTGACGTTGTACACTCCTCCATACAAATGTTTGCCGATGACGCCAAGTTATTTCGGGAAATTAAGAACCAAGCGGACTGTGAAGAACTGCAGAAGGACCTCTGAGGGCTCCAGGAATGGTCGAAGAAATGGCTGCTGAGATTCAATGTCACGAAGTGTAAGAGGATGCACCTGGGGCGTACCAACGGGAAGGAGGCGTATCATATGTCCCAACAGGATGAAGAAACTGCACTAGTTGAGACTGTGTGTGAGAAGGACTTAGGTGTGTATGTTGACAATAAGCCGAAGTTCTCGGGCCATTGCGAGAGGAAGGTAAATCAGGCAAATAAATTATTGGGTCTTATAAGAAGGTCGTTCAGATATCTAGACGGTTCATCCCTCGTAACGATCTTCAGGAGTGAAGTGCTTCCCCATCTGGAGTACTGTCACCCCATCTGGTCCCCGAGATATGCTAGGGACTGTCAGTTGGTTGAAAATGTTCAAAGGAGGGCCACCAGACTGTTGCCTACACTTCGGCACCTCAGCTACCCTGAGAGATTGGAGCGCTTGAACTTGCCTAGCTTATACTACAGACGGGCAAGGGGGGACCTAGTTGAGGTGTATAAGCATCTCAGGGGGCACTATTCAGTTGAGTGTCCTTACTTGGAGCTGGCGGACGTTCGCCCCACAAGGGGTCACAGCTCAAGATTGAAGAAGCCACAAGTCCAGAAAACCGTGAGGGCAAACTTTTTCGGAGTGAGGGTTGTAAACTCTTGGAACAATCTACCAGAGAGTGTTGTGACGGAACCGAGTGTTAGCTCTTTCAAGACAAGACTTGACCAACACTGGAGTGGGTTCAGGTACATTTAGGAGCAGGTGCATGCCCAGTATTTGCCAACAGTGCGTGACAGGAAAAGTAATCAGAGACTTGACCGATCGCCCAAGCGACTAACAAGCCGATCAGTGGCGAAGAGGATAAAAGTAAAGTAAAAGTAATAGGTAGTAGGCAGCTATCAAACAGGGAGGTACTACCCCTGGGAAGATATTGGAAGCATAATGTGCTGTCTAATGGTTGACCCTGCTGCCATATGGCATCACAAAAATTGTGACCAAGTCCCAGGTTGCTGATCTGACTTTCTGCTTCATTTACACACAATTGCAGGGTCTCAATTGTTTCTCTTACTTTGACAACACAACATACATATATCGTTTCTCACTTTTGATCTTTTTTATTTTTTGGGGTCCTTTTTTTTATTATTATTATCATATTATTATTATTATTACAGTCGACCCTCGCTAATTCGGACCCCTTTAATCTGGATTTCGGATAATTCGGATGAAATCTGAACTGAGCAAGGGACTGTCCGTGTCAAATTTCTGGTTCTGGGATTATCCGATAGATGGTGCGCACGCCAGACCGCCAGTCATTGTTGACTTCGCGCCATATTCGAGTATCAGTGTTGTGTTGCCCTACAATTTTCGTTGATATTTCTGTGATTAGGGATCTTTCAGCCTTGTATTTTACATCTTGTCTTCAAGGGGGAGTACCTTTAATACGCCGAAGAGGAAGTATGAGACCCTTTCTGTGAACCAGAAACTTGAACTTATAAGGAAGTTAGAAGCTGGTGCTTCGGTGTCAAGAGTTTGTGATGAGTATGGTATTAAAAAGCAAACAGTTTCGGACATACGCAAGGCTAAGGACAAACTCACTGCAATATTATGCAATATTAACCTAACCTAAATTGGTTAATTCAGATAATCGGCTAAAACGGACACCCTTCCCCCCCTATTAGTCCGTTTTAACGAGGGTCGACTGTATTATTATTTAATATTTTTTATATATATATATATATTTTTTTTTAGTAATTTCTATCTAATAATAATAATAATAATAATAATAATAGTGATGATTATTATTATTATTATTATTATTATATTTTCGCCCAAAAGGCCTGGATGTGGGTCATTGACCTGTGCTCTGGTGGGCTAATCTCGTAAAAAAATAAAATAAATAAAAGTTCAAGTTAACCTAACCTAACCCATATTACTGTGTTTCACTTGTTGCCACTAAACGGATCTCATGAATTTTATAGTTGTAATTGGTAATTTTGACAAGTCTAAGACACTTTTATTCAATGACATTTCTAGCGCAAACTACGTTTAAGCGAGATATTTAACATTTTATTATGTTTGTTCGTACGTGGCGGTACACACCCAGAACATCAAACGACGTAGTGGTACATACGCAAAACATCAAACGACCGCGGAGCTCCCCAATTAGGTTAAGTTTGGCTGGTTAGGGTCTAGTTTTTCTGAAGGTTTTCGATGTGTTTTGAACACTTTTGGGTTAATATTTAGTAGTTGCCACACCCTAACTGAACATTGAGTCATATATGGGGAAATAGCGGAAAAAAAAATTGAAATAATTTATTCTCTTATGCTTCCGTCTTAATTTGATGGTTTTCGAGTTATTTTAACTTTTATTTTATAATATTTGGCCAATCAGCGTCAGTGTTGATGTAACATCATAGGAGTACGCACCAATCAGCACGAGTGCCAATGTGACGTAATACTCGTATGTTAATCAGCATTTGAGGGCAGTTGGAAGATGGCGTCTCTGCGAGATGGATGTGCTGTACATTGGCTGGCTGACGCATTATTCAGCGTATTTTGGACAATGAAACAGCAGCCGTTGTCATTTTTAGGGCTCACAGAGTTCTTGTTTCATCTGTAAAGTGTCCAAGATGTAGGTCAGAGTGTTAGTACTGTGTAGATCACCATGTATGGCACTGTGGTAAGAGACGACACTGACGAAGACACCACTTCCTCATTTAAGTCACATCGCTCTTAACCTCCTGTATCTCTTACTTAAGGTAAGACACTAGTGACTAGGGGTTACATTTGGTGAGATGAGGTTTTTTTTAATTATATTTGAGGTTTCCACATTGTTTGACCTTCCACTTTTTTTTCAGTATCGCAACTACTGTTCACTTCCAATGGCAATGAAGGTCATATGTGTATTTAACACAATGATTTACACTATAAAAACCCATTTTCATAAGTCAATTAGGTGAAGGCAACTACTAAATATTTACCCACTATTTACCTTGATTTTTATGGAAAATCTCTAGGTTCTGAAATCAGAGCAAGGCTTATCAGTAAATATTCGTCCATTGGCTGTCCTCAGGCTTTGGTACGAGCATAGGTTTATTTGGTGTTTTTCTCAAATCTGACCTTCATTCTTGTGCAAATTAGCGGATTTTGCAAAAAATTTACATTTTTAACTTTTAACGAGCCGCTAATTTACACAAGAATAGAGAAAGATTTGAGTAAAGCACACAAAAAAACACACACAAAAAACTATTCTAATACCAAAGGAACCAACCTACCTAACCTAACTAACTTAGGAGGAAAGGAGGAGTCAAGTGACTCAAAGTGAGGAGTATAGCCTCAAGTAAACATAGCGGGAACCTCCAGACAGCCAATAGACGAATATTAACCACAATGTGTTTTTCCGATGATTTAGACAATTTGAAGACACTTCTTTTTGACGCTTCCAGGTTTCAACTAAGTGAAGGATTTTACAGCTGCTTTCCCCATCTCAGTAACAGTAAGTTCATCCACGGCAGGTGTAAAGTTAGGGTCCGACTAATTACCCAAATGTACCCAAATGTAGCCGCAATGAAGTCAAATAATGGTCCTACATGAATAAATCGGACTGCCAACCACTTCTCGACTAGTATTTGGTGTCACGAAGTCACAAAAAATTGGTAAACTTAATTTAAACTGAGTTAATAGATCGCGTGCATGTACCTAACCTAACCTAACACAACTCAGATTAAATTAAGTTTACCAATTTTTTGTGACTTTATGACACCAAATAATAATCGAGAAGTGATTCACAGCCCGATTTACGCTTGTAGGACCATCATTTGACTTCATTGCGGCTACATTTGGGTAATTACTCGCTCCCCCGGTACAAGCTCGCGATCTATTAACTCAGTTTAAATTAAGTTTACCAATTTTTTTGGACTTTGTGACACCAAATACTAGTCGAGAAGTGGTTGGCAGTCCGATTTATTCATGTAGGACCATTATTTGGCTTCATTGCGGCTACATTTGGGTAATTAGTCGGACAGGTTAAGTTATGCTAGGTTAGGATAGGGTAAGATTAGGTGGAAAAATCTCACATGTTGCCATTATACAAATAGGAGTTAACCATTTCGCGCACCTGCCACTTTATTCTGGCTACCGCCAGGCAATTTTATTCAGCTTAGAGTAACCTCCTGCAGCCAAAGGGTTAATGAAGGTCAGATTTGAGTAAAACACACCAAATAAACCTATCCTTGTACCAAAACCTGAGGACAGCCAATGTAAGAATATTTACCACACATTGCTAAACTGAAGAGCCATATTAGTTGAAAATGCAAATTTACCATTTACCACCTTGAAGCCTGATGATCTGGATGAGATAGGTCATTTATAACACCACTTTTATACAGTATACATCAAGACCCCCATTACATGAGGAAGGGACAGACTCACCTACTGCACCGTGACGTGAAGATAACAGTCACAACAACTGAGCCACTTATGTTACACCACGGTTCACTGTCTGTTGTCTCATACACATAAATAACTAAATAAATAAATCAATAAATTAATAAATCAATTCATTCATTGATTTATTGATTTATTTATTTGTGTATGTATGTGTGTGTGAGGGTGATGTAACAGTTAGTGAATGACGTTACTGTGTCTGTGATCGTCGCCAGCTGAGGTAAACATGGGGGAGGAGTACGAGAGGAAGAGGATATCCACTAACCCTTTCTTATACACTGATGGCAGTTTAGTGGAAGAAGACGTGTTACAGGCTGGCCTCGAACCTACTGAAGGCTCTACTGAGGGATCCATTACCTCCACCATAACTGGATCACAGGAATTACTGGGTGATCCTGACCAAACCCCTCAAGCAGAGATCCCCAGCAGACAAGTGTGGGTCATGGGCCGAGCTGCAGTTAGTATGTCCATTGATATTGATGATGAAAAGGTAAGCAGTGTGACTCAATCGAAATTTCATGGTTAAATTGATTATTTCTCAACGCAGTGGGTAGTTTACTGTTGATACTAACGCTATTTTACCGTTATTTGGTCGATTTTGGATACAAGTGAAGTTGGCCCTTGGTGGCTTAGGCCCAGTGAACTTGGCCCAGTTACAGTGGTGATCTCGGCCCCATTTCAGCGGTCCGACTAATTACTCAAATGTACCCTAATGTAGCCAAATGTAGCCGCAAAAAAGTCAAATAATGGTCCTACATGAATAAATCGGACTGCCAATCACTTCTCGACTAGTATTTGGTGTCACGAAGTCACAAAAAATTGGTAAACTTAATTTAATCTGAGTTGTGTTAGGTTAGGTTAGGTACATGCACTTGATCTATTAACTCAGATTAAATTAAGTTTACCAATTTTTTGTGACTTCGTGACACCAAATACCAGTCGAGAAGTGATTGGCAGTCCGATTTATTCATGTAGGACCATTATTTGGCTTCGTTGCGGCTACATTTGGGTACATTTGGGTAATTAGTCGGACCCCCATTTCGGTAATCTCGGCCCACAACCTGATGTCAACAATGGTATTAATTCTCAGGCTTTTTGGGGTAAATTTACATTAGTGCACACAACTCTGTTAGAAAGTCAAAACTATGTTTTTCTAGTGTATATTTGTGTGTTTTGATTGGTTTTGACCTTCATTTCCGTCGGAAATTGCCCGTTTTTTAGTTGTCAGGGGTTTTGGGTGGGGCGTTTTCCAAAAAAATATGGCTAAGCGAATACAAAACACACAAAAAAACACTAGAAAAACCTGACCTGACCTAACATAACCTAGCCTAACTAACTCTCACCATATGATGCAATCACTTATTTCTTACCTTATTGTTCTGCAACATCTCTTCTTTGTCTTGAGGATAAGGAACGAGTTACCACATTGCCACATATGTTGGTCTTGACGATATTTACATTCGTTTTTGCACTTAGGACACTTTACTGAGGTCGGGAGAACACCATGAGATCTAAAAAAATTATATTGCTTGTTCGTTTTTTCCCCAAAGTGCTCAATCAACTCCATATAATTGAACTGACACCAATTGCAAACTGCCATGGTCGGAAATGACTTTGAATTTTGAAAAATGAGAGACCCAAAATAAAAATAGAATTTGATTGGGTCAAAATTACCGCGAATTAAACAACAAATCATTTTAATTGGTGGCAAAAAAAAAAGCTTTTGATTGGCCGAGTGACGTGGACGGTAACACATGCGCGTGACGATTTATGAAGGAAACACGCAGTGTGGGAGGTGAGGTAGGCGATGATGGCAGAAGATTAATGGGAGAAAGTAGAGAAAATTTTGGATGTGCTATCTCCGTTATTATACGTTTGTGACAGTAATGTATCAGAAGAAAATTATCTTATAATTGCACATCTTTTTTTAATATAATAATAGTCTTGGGATAGGAAAGTTGTGTGCACAAATGCAAAAATAGTCTGTTATTTATTATAACTTTATTATCAATCCAGTGTTGACTGCTTGGTATCTACTCTTCTTCTCCTTATTATAAGGACCTTATAGATCTCAGAGTAACAACCAAGACTGTCCTCAATGCTGCATTGAACCTTTGAGCTACGTTCTCTGTTTGGGTCGATATCTATAAGGATTTGTTTTGCTTGCTGGAACATGTTGAATGATTCTGCCAACCTCTTGGAAGTTAGCGTTTGTTGAGGTTCTTCTTCGTCGTCGTAGTCGTCTTCAACGGGACTGTGTTCTGTTAGTTGTTGCAGATCTTCATTGGTGAGCTCTTCTGAATGGGATGCCAGGCCGTCTTCAATATCCTCTGATTCCAGCTCATCAAAGCCTACCTGTCTAGCCAAGCTGAGGATATCCCATGCCTTCTTATTTGCCTTGTAGATCACAGGAAGGTGATCCTTAGAGTAACCTTTCAGGGCCCGTGGGTTGGCAGCGCGAGAAATCAGCATAGGCTTTAGCTTCAAGTCACCGGCAGCGTTTGCGCCAAGCAGCAGCATCAAGCGGTCTTTAGCTGCTTTAAACCCTGGCGCCCTTTTCTCCTCCTTGGAGATATAGGTCCTCTCAGGCATCCTCTTCCAAAAGAGACCAGTCTCATCCACATTGAAGACTTGCTTCGATGAGTAGCCTCCTTCCTGGATAATCTGTTTGAATTCTGGCGGCAATGTCTCGACAGCAACTGTATCTGAATGGGCAGCTTCATCAGTCATCTTTATGTTGTGGAAGCTATTCCTGTGCTTAAATCGTTGAAACCATCCTCGGCGGCCGTAAAGTTCTCGTCCTTCGATCCTTCACCATCTTCTGCCTTTTTGTCGTCAAACAAGGATCTGGCCTTATGCTGGATAACCATTAGGCTCACAGGGGCATTGCGTTGATTCTGGTCCTCCATCCACATTGCCAGCATCTTTTCCACCTTCTCTATCAGTGCTTCTAGTACGAGGTGTCTTAGTAGCACTCAGAGAAGACCCACTTCCAGCACTAACCTTAATCTTGTTAGCGTTGGTCCGGATAATACGCACCGTTGTAGGGGTTAGAACAAGCACAGCTGCTATGTCCACAACACTTTCCCCTTTTTCAAATCGGGTTAATACATCCATTTTCATAGCAAGGGTAATGGTCTAACGTTGCCTCTTCACTACACTAGCATCAGTAGCACTTGATGGGCGCTTGGAAGCCATTTCGAAAGGTTAGAGTACAGTTTTAGAGCAGAAGCACTTAAGCACACACGAATGATGTGAAGTTGTAACAGACTGGCTTGGCGTCGCTTGGGGACGCTGTGACGTTCCGTAAGTGAGGGCAGCGCGCTGAGCCGAGAGAGCGTAGCGCGGCCAGACAAGAGAGGGTGATGAGCCGTAGAAAGTAGTTTGTGACGATGCAAAACGACGTAGTATTGAATCACCAGGACGTTGAACGAATTATTGGTCTCTAAAGTTTAGCGACGTAGTACCGAAACAATGTTAAGCGGGTTGACGTTATACAAGGACTTACTGTACTCACTGATGGGTGGAGTGTGTGGTGGGTAGTGGAGCGGAGGAGGAGGATGGCTGGAGCGGAGGAGAGTGGTGAGTCACTGAGACTCGGTGGGTGCCTCCTCCTCCCGCTCTCACTGGGGTTCCTCGGCTGTTGCTTGCTCCTCCTCGCTTGCAGGCTGTTGCGAAGATGCTGCTGCTGCTGCCGCCTTCTGGAGACGAAAAAAAAAAGAACCCAGCGTTGACTGCTTAGTGCTGCTCCTCTTTTCGTCCTTGTAAATCTTATTGTAGCAACCAAGACTGTGTCATCAATGTTGCATTGAATCTTTGAGCTACATTCTCTGTCATCAATGAAGATTTGCATTCCTTGCTGGATCATGTTGAACGCTTCTGCCAACCTCTTGGAAGTTCACGTTCGTTGAGGTTCTTCTTCGTCGCCGTCGTCGTCTTCAATGGAACTGTGTTCTGTTAGTTGTTGCAGATCTTCGTTGGTGAGCTCTTCTGAATGGGATGCCAGGCCGTCCTCAATATCCTCTGATTCCAGCTCATCAAAGTCTGCCTGTCTAACCAAGCTGAGGATATCCCTATTCACTGCTGGGACTAAGTCCGTGAATCCAGTAAGACTGTTGACGCACTCGGGACATAGTTTACGCCACACACCATTCAGGCAACTTTCTGAAACTTCTTCCCATGCCTTGCCAATGTTGTCAATTCCATGAAGATTGTTGAAGCCGAGCCAATATTCTCGGATCGTTGGTTTATTTTCTCCATCAGTAGCCTTTAGCAGTTGATCCATGGTATGCAGTAAATATACGCCTTGCATGCAGCGATGACGCCTTGGTCCATAGGCTGTGTCAGTGTTGTCGTGTTGGGAGGCAGGAATACAACTCAAACACTGTCATGTAAGCCGTCAATATTGGGAGGATGCGCTGGATCATTGTCGACGACAAGAAGAATTTTGAAGTTGAGGTTCTCCTTGGCACAGTATTCCTTCAGTGCAGGGACGGTGTACACGTTTAACCACTGGCTAAATATGGCGCCGGTTATCCATCCCTTCTTATTTGCCTTGTAGATAACAGGAAGGTGATCCTTAGAGTAACCTTTCAGGGGCCGTGGGTTGGCAGCGCGAGAAATTAGCAGAAGCTTCAGCTTGAAGTCGCCAGCAGTGTTCGCGCCAAGCAGCAGCGTCAAGCGGTCTTTTGCTTCTTTAAAACTTGGTGCTCTTCTTTCTTCCTTTGAGATATAGGTTCTATCTGGCATCCTCTTCCAAAAGAGACCAGTCTCATCCACATTAAAGACTTACTTCGCTGAGTAGCCTCCTTCCTCGATAATGTTTTTGAATTTTGGCGGGAATATCTTGGCAGCAACCATATCTGATCTAGCAGCTCCACCAGTCATCTTAATGTTATGGAAGTTATAACGGTGCTTAAAACATTGAAACCATCCTCGGCTGGCCGCAATGTTCTCATTCTTTGACCTTTATGTCGTCAAACAAGGATTTTGCTTTATGCTGAGTAACCATAAGGCTCACAGGGGCATTGCTTTAATTCTGGTCCTCCATCCACATTGCCAGCATCTTTTCCATCTTTTCAATCACGGAACTTCAAGTACGACTTGTCTTTGTTGCACTCAGAGAACTCCCACTTCCATCACTAGCCTTAATCTTGTACGTGTTGGTCCGCATAGTACGCACCGTTGTGGGGGTTAGTCCAAGCGCACTAGCAATGTCCACCGCACATTCCCCTTTTTCTAAATGGGTTAAAACCTCCATTTTTGTAGCAAGGCTAATGGTCTTAAGTTGCTTCTTCACAACACTAGCATCAGTAGCAGTTGATAGGTGCTTGGAAGCCATTTCGAAAGGTTAGAGTACAGGATTACGAGCAAAAATACTCGAACACGTAAGAACGCCGCGGAAGGCTAACAAAGACCGGCGTCGCTTGTGGATGCCGTGTGACGTTCAGCGAGCGAGAGGTAACACTCCAAGACGAGAGAGAGTGATGCTCCGTGCATAGTAGTCCGCGACAACGCAAAAATGACGTTATATCGAGTCGTCCGGACGTTAACCGAATTATTGGCATCTGAAGAGGAGCGACGTTATAACAAAACAACGTTAACGGGGGGAAACGTTAAACAAGGACTTACCGTAAAACAAAAATGCTGTTAATAATTCCATCCAAAAATAACTAAAAATCAGACCACATAACTAAATAGGATTTTTACCCTTAAACTCTTGTAGTACTGTAGATGTTAATGGTACCTATTGTATATCCTCTTTCTCTTGTTAAAGTTACAGACAATGACCGGTTCATACTCTGAGATCTTGGAGCGGCCAATGCTGGGACAACGTATTGCTGAAGAAGATGAGCAAGTAGAAGAAGGGGACAATGACATGGCCAGGGATGATGTAAGTTGAGGCTACACTGTATATAATGTACTGTATAGTTAATGAGGGAGTGATGTAGGTCTTGGGGCCTTTTTTTTCTGGTCTCGGTTGCTTATCAACGGTTTCAGTCTTGGTCTTCTGTGGTCTCAAAATTATGCTCAAGACAACGTTTTTATTTTATTTTATTTTTTTTAGATTTTTTGGGAGAGAGTATTCTACCTATTAAGTGTGGGTTCAGGTAGAGAGTTACCTCACTAATCCACTATCAGGCAAAAGTTGACTATATGTAGGCATTCCTGGGTTGCAATCAGTTACACAAGGTGATCCAGGTCAATTTGGCACTTATCATTCTAACTGTGCCAGCCACAAGCGCTTTGCATGAGGATGTATTTAGCCTTGGTTGATAATGAGGCCCCATAGATGGCAAACATCAGCAGAATATATACTGTGTATGTTTATATTTCTGAAGTGTAGTGAACACTTCTCATGTTATAAATTACGATATTCGAAAAAAGTATTTAGATATGAACAGCTAGCCTGATATTATAGAAATGATCACAGTACAGGGATCCCACGTTTAACGATCGTTCACTTAGCCATTTTTGGGTTTATTGATTTAAAATTTTTAACACCCTTAGTTGTTTAACAATTACTAATTTTCTGTTTAGCTATCTTCAGCTCTCTGGGAAAAATCCGGGAGGGAAGTCGGAAAAACTGGGGATTCTGTGCTCCAAGTGCACATCTTTACAATACAGTAATATCTCCATTAGCTGGAACAATTGGTGCAGAGCACTTCCGGGAATGAGAGATTTCCGTGTAATGAGACGACTCTCAAAGCCAGAAAAAGCCGTTTTTTTTTGTGTTTTTTTTTTTTTCTAAAAACCAATTTTTGTGATATAGCTCAGAATGCGACGCTCAGCAATATTACCTAGGTATGTTAATTCCTAGCTAACTCACCAGGCCAACATACAGGCAATTTAAACATCTAATAATTACTTAATAAGTAATATTAGGAGGACACGTCACTACCTGGCATTTAATTGCAATTCTCAATACCCCCTCCTTCACCCCCACCATACGCATCACGACCTTCATCTCTTGCCTTAGAGCGAGCAGTAAACAAAAGTCAACTCTCGAGGGGTGGAGATGGGTGGGTTATCGGCGTCGCATTCTGAGCTATATCACAAAAACTGTTTTTTAGAAAAAAACGGCTTTTTGTTCTAGTCGTAATGCGACGCTCAGCAAGAATACCCGAGCAGGAGGTGGAGAGAGAGGTGACTTTGCATACAAGGCTCCGCTGACTTAGGTCCAGATTATGTTATAAACCGTTAAGAATATTTCCCAAATTAGGAACATTTACCGGAAGGTAAAATGTTAATTTACTCAAAAAGGATACTCAATTTATTCTGATGAGGAAGAAGGTCCTGGTTGTGGAGATTGACTAGGTGGGGGAGGGGAACCCAGCACCACCACATTTGAAGCATCTTTCAGAGATAGATGAAGATAGCTGTCTTTAAAAGTTTTGAAGATCTCCAAAAGCCCATTTCCTTGATCTGACTGAGACTCATATGCCGCAGAAAGGCCACAGACCCTACATATTTCCTAGTGTCATGTGCCAAAAATTTCTTGCCAGGGTCTGCTTGATTCACTAATTGAGATAAGGATTTTGTCATTTGACTAGGAGATTATTTCTTACCATCCCTTGATGAGAAAACATAGGGGCCTCGATTAGGGAATCTGGTAAACCATTCTTGAAGAATCTTAACTGGGCAGGAACATAACCCTCGCATAAGTTGCGAGTCTACTGCAGCTAAATGGAAATATCACTCAGCAAGCGATCGTTAAATGAGGGATACCTGTGCAATACTATAATATGAAAGGCTTGATGTTTACCAGTTTAATAAGTGTATGTACGTTATAGTGGACAGATATAAGGTAGTCCTGTGTAAGTAATTACAACAAAAACCATTTCAATTTGCAGATGGATGCCGTTACTCCTGTATGTTCAAATGTAGATCCAGTTCAAGCTTTCCTTACTCAAGAGCGCCTCACTGCTTTCATGGCCCATGATGATTCACAGGGGGAAGCCCCAGAATATGGGGCAGAATTATCTTGTGATAGTCAGGTGAGCAGAAATAACAAACGATGGCTTTTGGGCCTTAAAATCAACACACACCATCCTAAGGGCAAACATGTAAAGGGAATATACATTTCCTTGCACACGAGATAGCTGGCTCAGTGAGGGAGCGGGAGAGCTCAGAGTTTAGGGGATGGGGAGTGTTGCTAGGGAATCGGTGTCCCAGCTGGTCTCCGTTAATATGGTGAAGCAGGGAGTGTATGCAAATGACGACTGTGTTAATCTTTCATTTAGCTTTTGTTTACTGATTTGGAGATACAGTATGTTTTGTTGTAACTTATTTATTGGTATTATTTTTATTTATTCCTCATATTTCCTGGTACTGTATATACAGGGTGATTCAGCAAAGAGCACATTAAATTGGAGGATGAAATCCTTGATTAATTCTAAACCACAATGGATCTATGGTAAAATGTCAGATTCTGCATAGTGTCCATGTTACAATACATTTAAGATGTTGTATTAATTAGAATGAATTTGAAGTGAAACCCTCATAGGTTTTTGTAATCATTTATTCACAGATGTCTTATGTACAGCAGTACAGCGTGACACAGATGGCTGACACAGGTGCAATAAGACAGGGACCGTGTACGAACGAATGAGATAAAGGCAGTTACAGGGGGAGGGAGTTTCACTTCAAATTCATTCTAATTAATACAACATCTTAAATGTATTGTAACATGGACACTATGCAGAATCTGACATTTTACCATAGATCCATTGTGGTTTAGAATTATCCAAGGATTTCATCCTCCAATTTAATGTACTCATTGCTGAATCACCCTGTATTATTTAAAGAAAACTATGGCTACAGGAGGAAAATACACACAAGATTTTTTCCTACATGCTCCCTGCTTAACTATGGACTGCTTCTTTTATGCTGTAAAATGTATTTTTGGTGTTTTTATATCATTATTTATCGTTTTATACATTTAGTACATTTGCCGGAAGATACGGACAATTGGCTTTTTCGGACAGGTGGTCCCTCCTTTTACTCCGGATCTTGGAGGGTTCACTGTAGTGCTATTTATCAAGAGTTGCTTGATTTGAGTGGCATTGATATAATATAGGATGAAAAACAGTGATGAGGAGGAAACAGATCCAGATGATGCAGAGTTTGTTGAGGCAGCCAGTGGTGAGGTCAGTGATACAGACAATGGCGCTCACTCCCCTTCCCCATCCCTTCAGCGAGGTCATGGTGGCCGTGGACGTTGAGGACCACGTGCACGCCAGCCACAATAATATGCTTGGAATGCCTGCACTAATTTTACACCTGAAATACCAGTTTTCAACTGTGGTTTAAAAAAAAAGATGTTTTTTTTTGCCAAATTATGTCTAGTGGATCTTATGTCACCCAGACCATAAGGGTTAAATGTCTTTAACTGTTAATTTTTGCCATTATAAATTATATAAAAATAAATAAATAATACAGTAAACCCTCGGGATAACGAACTAATTGGGGGAAGGCAATGGTCGCCAAAGCCAAAAATCCATTAAAGCCGATTGCCTCTCAGTTTGAAATACCAGATGTTTCAAATGCAAGATTTAATTACAGTTACCCCGCCTAACGCGGTTTCACTTAACGCGTTTTATCATATACGCGGTGCCTTGCCAGAGCTGAACTTTCACTTAACACGGATTTTTTCCACATATACGCGGTGAGTGTCCGGCTCGAGACGCTATTTTTAGATTTGCCCCACCCTGCCTGACTGCCTGTTTTAGCTCATAAAATTCATACAAATTACCCGGCCAGAATATAATTTACATTGCTGGAATTCTTATAATTTGGTGATCATTTTGAATATAAACATCATATTTTTGCATTAGACATACAAATTTTAGATAAAAATTTTTCTCAAATTAACTATGTTATCTTTTGTGCAAAATATATGACATTTATATTCAAAATATTCCTGGTCTTACAAGGAATCCAGCAATGTCAATTATATTATCCTAACTTTAGTTTGAGGTATTATTTATTAAAATTTAGTGGTTATCCCACACATCTCCTTGGGACGGTTGGTGGGGGGTGGGGGGGAGGGAGGGACCGACCGACCATCTGTTACCCTGTGAAGAATTATTATTTTTTTTTATTAACTGAAGATATTTGTTTTAGCTCATAAAATTCATACAAATTACCCGGTCTGAATATAATTTACATTGCTGGAATTCTTATAATTTGATGATCATTTTGAATATAAACATCATATTTTTGCATTAGACATACAAATTTTAGATAAAAATTTTTCTCAAATTAACTATGTTATCTTTTGTGCAAAATATATGACATTTATATTCAAAATATTCCTGGTCTTACAAGGAATCCAGCAATGTCAATTATATTATCCTAACTTTAGTTTGAGGTATTATTTATTAAAATTTAGTGGTTATCCCACACATCTCCTTGGGACTGTTGGTGGGGGGTGGGGGGGAGGGAGGGACCGACCGACCATCTGTTACCCTGTGAAGAATTATTTTTTTTTTTATTAACTGAAGATATTTGTTTTAGCTCATAAAATTCATACAAATTATCCGGTCTGAATATAATTTACATTGCTGGAATTCTTATAATTTGATGATCATTTTGAATATAAACATCATATTTTTGCATTAGACATACAAATTTTAGATAAAAATTTTTCTCAAATTAACTATGTTATCTTTTGTGCAAAATATATGACATTTATATTCAAAATATTCCTGGTCTTACAAGGAATCCAGCAATGTCAATTATATTATCCTAACTTTAATCTGAGGTATTATTTAATACTAAATGTTAAAAACCCTGGAAGGGAGGATTGGTGGGGGGTGGGGGGGAGGGTTGGGACTGACCGCGCGGTTGGAAGAGGGGGGGAGGCAAGGTTGAGTCCATTATTTGAATGGACATTAACTTGGCGACTGTATTTCTCTATTTCTCTTAAGTATTAATTGTGTGCATGTACCATCATAAAATTAAGATGTTATTTTTACTACAACATAGGTATGTGCCTTCAAAAAGTGGAGTTTGGGGGTCGGGCCGGTTTCTATTGGAATTAATCCCATGTATTCCTAGTAACAAAATATTTTACAGTACATTAATATTCAATAAATGGCTGAGATATGTTCTTAAAATCCCAAATTATTATTCTAATTGTTTTTAGATATATATTTTGTCTACATGTAGTACGTTGATTTAAAGCAAATCGATTTAAAATTATTGATTTAAAGCGACACCCACAATTAAGGACACCTTATCAATTTAAAGCTAATCTTTCCTATTTTATGCGAGTCAAATCTGGCGCGGATTACCCCGGGGTTAGGTAACAATTTCCAATTTCAAGCTCAAAATTTTCAGAATGGGTCATAAGCCCGCCAAAGCTCCAACCCCGTCATCCCACTTCTCTGTCTTCAGTTGCCGCTTGGGTATTGTCAGTGTAACAGCTGCCTCTCGTGTGTGTCAATTTAGTGCTCTTAAATCTTTCTCATACTCGTTCATAATGCCCAAACACAAGCCAACTCTGTACTGTACTTGTACTCAAATGTACGGTGGTCCCTCGGTTAATGAACACAATTCATTCCAGAAGGTTGTTCATTAGCCAAAACCATTATTTCAATGGGATTTTGGGTAATTGGTTCCAGCTCACCGAAAATTACATACAAACTAAAAATAAATGCAGTAAAGTACACTTACTTTGAGGTGTGCATGTAGAAGGCTCCTGGTTGATGATGATGATGGGAATTAGAAGTGGGGGTGGAGGAGAAGGGAGAAGAGAAGGCAGTGGGGATGGAAGAGAAGTTACCTCATGCTTCATGCCACCATTTCACCCATAAAATTAAGTTCACTGGGTGTATTTCAAGATTATTTTCTTTAAATCAACACTGCACTGCACTATATATTGTCAATATGTAAAATAAATTTCAGAATGACCAATAATTGTACTGTAAAAACGTAAAAATAGTTTATGTTCAAGAGAGTCTCAAGCAAGATGCTTCCTCCACTGAGCAGAGACACAAATTGACGCCATTCTGGGTGAGTCAAGTGGCTGTTTGGCGCACCAAAAACTAGTTCCCTGTACTTCAATTATGTTAAATAATTGTTAAAATGACTAAAAATTTTAATATAAGACTTGGAAAATTATTGAATAGTACAACCTTCTTGATATTTACTCAAATGGTAACGAATTTAAGCTCTAAAACTCATTACTGTATTGGCGGACTAATACTACAGCTGGTAAGCAGGTGAAAACATGTTGACACGATTTCATAAGGATTTCGTTAACCGAATTTTTGTTCATTAATCGAGTTGAAGATTCTTATGGATGGTAATTCGTTAACCGAAATTTCATTAACTGAGTGATCACTGTACTAAATAATTAATAAAATTTTTATATCAGGTGCATATTCAAATTGTGTATATTCAGATTAAACACTATCTTACAAGACTCCCAGCATTGTTAATTATATTCTTCCCGGTCAATTCAGTGACATTTTATAAGTGAAAAACAGATAAGACACACAGGATTAATGTCCCCGACAGCTGGTGAATACCCCACCTCACCCTCCCCTCCTCCCCCCTGCCTGGCTGTCAACACATCACCTCCCCCTTCCCAGGGGTGAAGGTGTTTTTAGGCTTAAAATTTTTATCTTATAAAATTTCTCAGACTAAAGTTAGGAGAATATAATTTGCATTGCTGGAATCCTTGCAAGATAACGAAAAATTTGAATGAAGACATTATACACCTCACATAAGGGATAAGGGATTGTGGACCTGTATTACATTACAGTACAGTAAAGCCTCAAATAACGACGTTAATGTGTCCTCCAGTATTGCAGTGTAAGGTGAATCGTCTTATCGTGAATCATTAATTACCATTAAAATAAAGCAATAATAATGAGATGTGTTCCCAAGTGTGACCTTTTCATATCTTTTGTGTGGCATGTTACCCTCTTTTCCCCCAAAACAATAAAATTAATGAAAAATGCCAACTATATTCTTTAAATAATGTTTA